GGTCGTGTACTATCGATGAGGGACTTCAGATATTGTATGTGTGGGGTACAGAGATGGGGTAGCCATTAAAAAATCATGTTAACCACTATTATTGAACACCAAATGAGTCCATGCAACTTATTTAGGCTTGCCATAACAAAGGGGTTGAAAACGTATTGAGTCAAGCCATTTCAGCTTTAAATGTTTATTTGACATTATGGGGTATTGTGTGTAGATCAGTGATACACAATCTCAATTTAATACGTGTTTAACTCAGGCTGTAACACAACAAAATGTGGAAAAAGTAAAGGGGTGTGAATACTTTCTGAAGGCACTGGAGTTGCTTACCAAGACGGCGTTGACTGTTCCTGAGTGGCCTAGTTACAGTTTTGACTTAAATCGGATTGAAGATTTATGGCAAAACTTGACAATTGCAGTCTAGCAATGATCAACAACCAACTTGACAGAGCTTGAATAATTTTTTAAAGATGAATGTACAAATATTATAAACTCAGCAAAAAAAGAAATGTCCTCTCTCTGTCAACTGCATTTATTTTCAGCAAACTTAACATGTGTAAATATTTGTATGAACATAACAACATTCAACAACGGAGACATAAACTGAACAAGTTCCACAGACATGTGACTAACAGAAATGGAATAATGTGTCCCTGAACAAAGGGGGGGGGGTCAAAATCAAAAGTAACAGTCAGTATCTGGTGTGGCCACCAGCTAAATTAAGTACTGCAGTGCATCTCCTCCGCATGGACTGCACCAGATTTGCCAGTTCTTGCTGTGAGATGTTACCCCACTCTTCCACCAAAGCACCTACATTTCCCAGACATTTCTGGGGGGAATGGCCCTAGCCCTCACCCGCCGATACAACAGGTCCCAGACGTGGTCAATGGGATTGAGATCCGGGCTCTTCACTGGCCATGGCAGAACACTGACATTCCTGTCTTGCAGGAAATCACACACAGAACGAGCAGTATGGCTGGTGGCATTGTCATGCTGGAGGGTCATGTCAGGATGAGCCTGCAGGAAGGGTACCACATGAGGGAGGAGGATGTCTTCCCTGTAACGCACAGCGTTGAGATTTCCTGCAATGACAACAAGTTCAGTCCGATGATGCTGTGACACACCGCCCCAGACCATGACGGACCCTCCACCTCCAAATCGATCCCGCTCCAGAGTACAGGTCTCGGTGTAACGCTCATTCCTTCGATAAACGCGAATCTGACCATCACACCTGGTGAGACAAAACCGCGACTCGTCAGTGAAGAGCACTTTTTGCCAGTACTGTCTGGTCCAGCGATGGTGGGTTTGTGCCCATAGGTGACGTTGTTGCCGGTGATGTCTGGTGAGAACCTGCCTTACAACAGGCCTACAAGCCCTCAGTCCAGCCTCTCTCAGCCTATTGCGGACAGTCTGAGCACTGATGGAGGGATGGTGCGTTCCTGGTGTAACTCGGGCAGTTGTTGTTGCCATCCTGTATCTGTCCCACAGGTGTGATGTTCGGATGTACCGATCCTGTGCAGATGTTGTTACACGTGGACTGCCACTGCGAGGACAATCAGCTGTCTGTCCTGTCTCCCTGTAGCACTGTCTTAGGCGTCTCACAGTACGGACATTGCTTTTTTTTTGCCCTGGCCACATCTGTAGTCCTCATGCCTCCTTGCAGCATGCCTAAGGCACGTTCACGCAGATGAGCAGGGACCCTGGGCATCTTTCTTTTTGTGTTGAGTCAGTAGAAAGGCCTCTTTAGTGTCCTAAGTTTTCATAACGGTGACCTTAATTGCCTACCGTCTGTAAACTGTTAGTGTCTTAACAACCGTTCCACAGGTGCATGTTCATTAATTGTTTATGGTTCATTGAACGAGCATGGGAAACAATGAAGATCTGTGAAGTTTTTTAGATTTTTCTGAAAAAGGGAAATTTCTTTTTTTGCTGAGTTTACAATCCAGGTGTGCAAAGCTCTTAGAAACTTACCCAGAAAGACTCACATCTGCAATCACTGCCAAAGGTGATTATTACATGTATTGAATACTTATGTAAATGAAATATTTCTGTATTTCATTTTCAATAAATTAGCAAAAAGTTCTAAAAACATATTTTCACTTTGTCATTATGGGTTATTGTGTGTAGATGGGTGAGAAAAAACATAAATTTAATCAATTTTGAATTCAGGCTGTAATACAACAAAATGTGGAATAAGTCAAGGGATATGAATACTTTCTGAAGGCACTGTACCTATAACTAAATGTACAAAGGAAGTACCGTACAGGGTACCACCCCAGTGACAAGCGTTTGCACCCCTTTATGAACAAATCTGAACTTTTTTTTCTTAGAGTGAATGCCCAATATGTTTCTTCCTTCTACAGTACCTAAAACAATAACTCCACTGGATACACTGTCTCTATTCTCAGACAATACACAGCCTAGCCCTAGACCCATGTGAGCGCCGTTGCTCCAGCACATTGTCTCCTTACTCTGTGGTCGAGGATTGATGACAGTACTCACGTCGGCATTTCTTGCAGCAGGTGCCCTCCACATTCACGGGGAGAGAGTCCTCTGAGCAGTTGGCAGGGGGACAGAATATCCTGTGACACTCCACCACTCCGTTCTGTAGAGACAAGAGATTACCCTAAAACACACAAATAGCATTACAGAGAGCTCTAACATCCCAGTGTGTGTGCGTGTCTGTGGTACTGCCAACAAGATGAGTGCAAAACATACAGACAAAAACATACTGCATTCAAAAATCATGTCCTCACTTATCAGTCCTCACTTATCTGTTATTTGTGCAAATCACATAATCAAACCATCAAACTCAATCATATCAACTGGACTCTGTAATAGACTCATAGAAGGAAGTCATGGTGGTAATCTCTCTCTCTCAATGGAATATACTGGACTGTTTGTAATTAAGCAATAATAATGATAGTGATACTCATATTAACAGCAATTATAACAAATAATAATAAAGAATAGGCAAATATGAATAATCACACTATACTTCTCCCTGACTGTCCCTCAGGTTGTATCAGGAGGCCTCAAATTTGGCTGCTAAAACACAGCATTTTGTTTTTTTCACCAATTATGTATTTAAGTTCATCTTCAACATTTAAGTTTTCTAATTCTTCGTATTGTTGTATAATGTGGGGAAATAGTTTATTTCTTATGTCAAAATATCTATCACAGTTTCACAGAAAATGCAGCTCTGTCTCTATCTCTCCCTGGGGGCAGAATCAGCAGCCATGTTTGCCTGGGACGACTGGTCTCTATGGCCAGGCTGTGCTCACTGAGTCTGTACATAGTTAGTATTTTCCTCAGTTTTCTATCAGTTACAGTTGTCAGATAGTCTGCCACTGTGTACTGTCTGTTTAGAGCCATATAGCATTGCAGTTTACTTAGATTTGTTGTGGTTTCTCCAATAGGTAATATATTTTTCATTTTGCTTTGTGAAAATTTGGTTGGATCTGATTTTCTGAGTGCTGTCCTGAGGCTTTGTTTGGTTGGTAGTGGTTAGTGAATTGAGCCTCAGAACCAGCTGGCTGGTCACCTCTTGGCATTTGAGGGTTTTATATGTGGGGTCAATTGTTTTAAAATGATTATAGCGTTTGGTGGCTCTTTTTTGGATATTGACCAGAAGAGGGAATTCTGCTCTGCATGCATTGTTTGTAGTTTCTCTCTGTACTCTGAGGATGCTATTACAGACCCCACACCTCGCTGCCATATAGTGCAATTGGCTATATTATTGATTTGAATATTTTGAACCAGATCCTAATTGATATGTCTAATTCGATAGATATTTTAATGGCATAGAAAGCCCTCCTTGCTTTGTCTTTCAGTTCATTTACAGCCAGGTTGAAGTTCCCTGGAGCCCAGTAAAAATGGATATCGGTTTCCCTGACATCTGGATCTTTTCTGGAATATCATACTTTTTGTCGTTTGAGATTGACTGTCAGGGCCCAGGTCTGACAGAACTGTTGCAGATTATCTAATTGTTGCTATGAAACATATTTTGTGGGGGACAGCAGCACCAGGCCATCTGCATACAGGAGGCATTTTATATCTGTGTCGTTAAGAGTGAGATAGGGGGATGTTGATTGTTGTAGTGTTTTTGCCAATTCATTAATGTTTTGTTTTGGTTCACCTGTTTATCAATTAAGGTGTGAAGAGTATAAATGATCTGATGTTCGATAATTTGGTAGGAACCCAATTTGACTTTTGTTTAGGACATCGAGAAAGTGCAGTAATCTGCTGTTCAGGTTACTGCGCAGAATATTTTCCCCAGGTTGCTGCTCTCTCGCTCTCTCTCGCTCTCTCTCACTCTCTCTCGCTCTCTGTCCCACTCTCTCGCTCTCTCTCAATCTCTCCTTCTCTCTCTCCTTCTCTCTCCTTTTCTCTCTCTCTCTCTCTCTCTCTCCCCCCATCTCTCTCTCTTGCGCTCACCCTTTCTCTCTATCCATCTCTCTATCTCAATCTCTTTCTCTCTCCACCCCCCTCTCTCTCTTTCTCTCTTTCCCTCTCTCTGTCACTCTCACCCTCCCTCTATATCCCTCTCTCTCAATCTCTCCTTCTTTCTCAACCCCCCTCCCCCCCCCCCCCCCCCCCCTCTCTCTCTCTCTCTCTCTCTCTCTCTCTCTCTCTCTCTTCATGCACCACTTCATTTCATGACTAATCTAAAATGGCGTCTCCCACGGGGCTTGGTGGATATCAGTTAATGGCATGATATCTGCGGGAGGAAATCGCACTCACAAAACTCCATCCTGGGCCCGACATGCAGCGACGCAGCAAGTTTAATTCACAAGGGTCTGAGATTGTCCTGATTCTACACATTTTCTGAGTTCAACACGCTCATGAGGAGGTAGGAACTCTTATTACTGGAAGTATTATTTGGTTGGGAATGTTTGGTTGATAGAAGGATGGAGAGAGAGAGAGAGAGAGAAATAGAGAGAGAGATAGATTGAGAGAATGAACTACAAGACAAAATACAAACAGGCCTGTGGTGTTAATGGTATCCTAAATGAAATTATAAAATATACAGACCACAAATTCAAATTGGCTATACTTAAACTTTAACATTATCATCAACTCTTCCCCAATATTTGGAACTAAGGTCAGATCACCCCAATCCAATTCGACCACAATAACTACCGTGGGATATGCATCAACAGCTCCTGTCACGTCTCCTCCCGTTGCTCCCCTCTGGTGCTCTGATTCACCGGACTACTGAGCCACTGGTCTGAGCGCACCACCTCGGCAACACCGGAATGGAAACCCAACGCACCCTAATCACCTCCAGCGCACCTGCACCTCATCATCTCATCACCACCCCTATTTAGTGTGATTGTTTAGCTTCGTGTCGTTTACTCTATCTTTGTTATTTCTCTTGCTCATTGTTAAGTAAATCTTGACCTTGTTAATTCCTGCGTCTGCGTCCTGCCTCTTCGTATACTCAGTACGCGTCACAGCTCCCTTAGGAAAATCCTCTGCATTATCATTAACAGCAGACTCCTACATTTCCTTAGTGAAAACAATGTTCTGAGCAAATGTCAAATTGGCTTTTTACCAAATTACTGTACGACAGACCATGTATTCACCCTGCACACCCTTATTGACAAACAAACAAAACAAAACAAAACAAAAGCAAAGTCTTCTCATGCTTTGTTGATATCAAAAAATGCTTTTGACTGAATTTGGCATGAGGTTCCGCTATTTAAATTGGTGGAAAGCGGTGTTGGAGGGAAAACATGCAACATTATAAAATCCATGTACACAAACAACAAGTGTGCAGTAAACGTTTATTTAAAAACACACAGATTTCTTTCCTCAGGGCCGGGGGGTGAGACATGGATGCAGCTTGAGCCCCACCCTCGTCAGCATTTATATCAATGAATTGGCGAGGGCACTAGAACAGTCTGCAGCACCCGGCCTCACCTTACTAGACTCTGAAGTTAAATGTTTATTGTTTGCAGATGATCTGGTGCTTCTGTCCCCAACTAAGTAGGGCCTACAGCAGCACCTAGATCTTCTGCACGGATTCTGTCAGACTTGGGCCCAGACAGTAAATCTCAGTAAGACAAAAATAATGGTGTTCCAAAAAAGGTCCAGTTGCCAGGACCATAAATACAAATTCCACCTAAACACTGTTGCCCTAGAGCACACGAAAACGAAACATACCTCAGCCTAAACATCAGCACCACAGGTAACTTCCACAAAGCTTTGAATGATCTGAGAGACAATGCAAGAAGGGCCTTCTACGCCACGAAAAGGAATATACAATTTGAGCCTTTTACACCATGAAAAGGAACATAACATTTGACATCCCAATTAGGATCTGGCTTAAAATATTTGAATCAGTTATAGAACCTATTGCCCTTTATAGGTGTGAGGTCTGGTGTCCACTCACCAACCAATAATTCACAAAATGGGACAAACACCAAATTGCATGCAGAGTTCTGCAAAAGCATCCTCTGTGTACAACGTAATACACCAAATAATGCATGCAGAGCAGAATTAGGACAATTTCCGCTAATGATCAAAATCCAGAAAAGAGCGATTAAATTCTACAACCAACTAAAAATAAGTGATTCTCAAACCTTCCATAACAAAGCCCTCACCTACAGAGAGATCAACCTGGAGAAGAGTCCCCTCTGCCAGCTGGAACGGGGACTCTGCTCACAAACACAAACAGACCCCACAGAGCCCCAGGACAGCAACACAATTAGACCCAACCAAATCATGAGAAAACAAAAAGATAATTACTTGGCATATTGGAAAGCATCCACAAAAAAGCAGAGCTAACTGGAATGTTATTTGGCCCTAAACAGAGAGTACATATTATCAAAATACCTGACCACTGTGACTGACCCAAAATTAAGGAAAGCTTTGACTAGTGTATGTACAGACTCAGTGAGCATGCTATCGAGAGAAGCCGCCATCAGCATACCTGGCTCTCAAGAGAAGACAGGCTATGTGCCCATTGCCCACATAATGAGATGGAAACTCAGCTGCACTGCCTAATCTCCTGCCAACTGTATGACCATATCAGAGACACATATTTCCCTCATATTACAAAGACCATTAACGAATTTGAAAACAAATCCAATCTTGATAAACTCCCATATCTATTAGGTGAAATACCACAGTGTGCCACCACAGCAGAATGATTTGTGAACTGTTGCTACAAGAAATGGGCAACCAGTGGAGCACAAACACCATTGTAAATACAACCTATATTTATCTGTTTATCTATTTTCCCTTTAATACTTCAACTATTTGCACATGTTTACAACATTGCAAATAATATAACATTTGAAATGTCTATATTCTTTTACAATTTTTGTGAGTGTAATGTTTACTGTTCATTTTGATTGTTTATTTCCCTTGTTTATTTCCCTTTTGTTTCTTCTCTATTTCACTTGCTTTGGCAATGTAAACATATGTTTGACATTCCAATAAAGCCTGAATTTAATTTAATGTAATTGAGAGAGAGAGAGAGAGAGAGAGAGAGAGAGAGAGAGAGAGAGAGAGAACAAGCGAGAGCTGAGATGAGATAGAGAGAGAGAGAGAGCGAGAGAGAGGGAAAGAGCAAACAAGAGAGAGGCTTATACTGTATACCCTGAGGCAGGTATTGTACCTGTGTTCAATATTAGGTTATATCCTATTTTAGTATATTACATCATATTACATTATCTCATTATATCATATTGAACCCTATTACATTGTCCTTGTTGTGGACACAATTAAGCTCATTAGCTTTTGCGACGAAATAGAGAAAGAATGAGAGAAAGAGAAGGGAGAAGAAATACTAAATATATATATATTGTTATTTATTGTTTACTGTTCCTAATTATCATTATTTGTGACTTGTTTCAGGAAACTAGGTGTATGTTGCTTCACAGGAGTGCCATTGGAAAGTTTTTTTATCATTTTGATCAAAATGCGTTTTTTGGCAGAAATGCATTCTGGAACATAATTAATAACAAACTTGCATGCAATACAATTGTTAAATTACGAGCCTAGTTGGCTTAGCCACAGAAAAAGACACCAACCTTGGTCTGCCATGTAGCCCACTTCTGTCTATAATATGAGCTGGTCAATATGTGTAGGTAATCCTTTCTAACAAGCTTTTTTGAAAGATATCATGTAGTAGAACTGCATAAGTGTTGCTCTCCACTTTCTGGAGGACCGAGTTTTGAAATCAGTGGAATTAGAGTATGATAGCTAAGGAGATGGAGAAAATTCTGGCATTTGATTGCAAATATGCAGACGGAGTCAAAAAGAGAACACACAGAATGCTGTTGTGTAAAAAAAACCCTGTCTAAGGGCAACCATGGCATCCGTGACAGAGAGGGAGAAGAGTTAATCCATGTATACGGGTAAGAGAGTCTAGCTAGCTACGTTTTCAGATATTACACATTTCTAATTCTGTCAGAAAGTCGTTTTCATTTAAAGTTAAAGTGTACTCTAAGCTAGGTTGCTAACGATAGCTGGCTGGCTAGCTAGCTAACGTTATGTATATGATCTGTGTAGTAATATTATTCGTATCTCAGAGCCATTTGCATTGCTAGTTATAGCCTAATGTTAGCTAGCTAACATTGAACCTGGTTGGTTAGCTTCCTGCATATTCATGCAGGGTAGTAACAATATGAGTTGGGATTATGGTTAATTGTTTAGCTAGCTAGCTACATGTCTAAACAAGACTCCACTATAAAAGTAAAGTGAGGGAAAAAAGTATTTGATCCCCTGCTGATATTGTATGTTTGCCCACTGACAAAGAAATGATCAGTCTATAATTTTAATGGTAGGTTTATTTGAACAGTGAGAGACAGAATAACAACAACAAAAATCAAGAAAAACGCATGTCCAAAATGTTATAAATTGATTTGCATTTTTATGAGGGAAATAAGTAGAAATAATTCTGTCTCCCAGGTGTCTTTTATACAGGTAACGAGCTGAGATTAGGAGCACACTCTTAAAGGGAATGCTCCTAATCTTAGCTTGTTACGTGTATAAAAGAAACCTGTCCACAGAAGCCATCAATCAATCAGATTCCAAACTCTCCACCATGGCCAAGACCAAAGAGCTCTCCAAGGATGTCAGGGACAAGATTGTAGACCTACACAAGGCTGGAATGGGCTACAAGACCATCGCCAAGCAGCTTGGTGAGAAGGTGACAACAGTTGGTGCGATTATTCGCAAATAGAAGACAACAGAACTGTCAATCTCCCTCGGCCTGGGGCTCCATGCAAGATCTCACCTCGTGGAGTTGTAATGATCATGAGAACGGTGAGGAATCAGCCCAGAACTACACGGGAGGATCTTGTCAACGATCTCAAGGAAGCTGGGACCATAGTCACCAAGAAAACAATTGGTAACACAGTACGCCGTGAAGGACTGAAATCCTGCAGCACCCGCAATGTCCCCCTGCTCAAGAAAGCACATATACAGGCCCGTCTGAAGTTTGCCAATGAACATCTGAATGATTCAGAGGAGAACTGGGTGAAAGTGTTGTGGTCAGATGAGACCAAAATGGAGATCTTTGGCATCAACTCAACTCGACTTGTTTGGATTTGGAGGAATGCTGCCTATGACCCCAAGACTACCATCCCCACCGTCAAACATGAAGGTGGAAACAGTATGCTTTGGGGGTGTTTTTCTGCTAAGAGGACAGGACAACTTAACCGCATTAAAGGGACGATGCACGGGGCCATGTACCGTCAAATCTTGGGTGAGAACCTCCTTCTCTCAGCCAGGGCATTGACATTGGGTCATGGATGGGTATTCCAGCATGACAATGACCCAAAACACACGGCCAAGGCAACAAAGGAGTGGCTCAAGAAGAAGCACATTAAGGTCCTTGAGTGGCCTAGCCAGTCTCCAGACCTTAATCCCATAGAAAATCTGTGGAGGGAGTTGAAGGTTTGAGTTACCAAACGTCAGCCTCGAAACCTTAATGACTTGGAGAAGATCTGCAAAGAGGAGTGGGACAAAATCCCTCCTGAGATGTGTGCAAACCTGGTGGCCAACTACAAGAAACGTCTGACCTCTGTGATTGCCAACAAGGGTTTTGCCACCAAGTACTAAGTCATGTTTTGCAGAGGGGTCAAATACTTATTTCCCTCATTAAAATGCAAATCAATTTATAACATTTTTGACATTAGTTTTTCTGGATTTCTTTTTGTTCTTCTGTCTCTCACTGTTCAAATTAACCTACCATTAAAATTATAGACTGATTATTTCTTTGTTAGTGGGCAAACGTACAAAATCAGCAGGGGATCAAATACTTTTTTCCCCTCACTGTAACTATTTCAATAGAATGTTTATGATGTCACTGCGACAACTGTCGATAGACGTAGCTGGTACATTTCCTCTGGCTATCTACTCCGATTTCAGAGCACTCTCGTCCGAGTGTGCCAGAGCGCAGAATAACTGACGAATTTACGAACGCTCAACACCCGTTGAATATGGCCGGTGTCCGTAAACGTTGGCAAAAAAGCTTGATTAAATTTTTGCCAGCAGCACATTTGCTGTCACCAATGCTCTGGATAACATAATAACAGCCCAACCAGCTCTGCTAGGGTGAGTAAAATGGTCAGAGTGAGCTGTTCTCTCATTTTTGTCTGGAAGTAACTAGCAAGCTAACCAACGTCTTGACTGCTTGACTGCTGTTGCTAGGTCAGAACGCTCGGATCAACCCTACTCCTCGGCCAGAGCGTCCAGTGTGCGCTCTGAATGCACTGAGAAAGAAACGCTCTGAATTTACGAACGGACAATCTGACAACGCTCTGAGTTTACGAATGACCAGAGCACACTCTGGCACTCCAGTTTGTATTTACGAACACACCCGTAGTATAAGCTAGCCTTTAGTCTTGAAATGTTTGGTTGTTTAGTACATAGCCTCACATGTGAATCCTTAAAGAGATGGGTGGGGCTAAATCTTCAGAGGGTGTGAACGATGCTGAATGGGTGTAGACAAAGAAGAGCTCTCCAGTAGGTACCGAAACATTCAAAAGTGAGGAATTACAAAAGCAAGGAAGTTGGGCCATATGTTTATAAAGAAAGAAGTAAAGATGACAGGACAGTTTTGAGTAGAACATCAGCAGTTTGAAGAATAGCTGAGTGGAATATGTTACTGTCATTGTAGTCATCAAGTCAGGAAAAAATAGTAATCTCATTATTGTTTACATTTCAAACCAAACTCCAATTTGTTTACAACAGACCCAACAACAAAGCATGGCAATTCCCACTTAGTTACCCTGGTCTGTATTAGGCCACCACTGTTCAGCTATCGTGAAAACCACTAAAGTTCTAAAGTGTTCTCTTAGCAATGGCAATCAAAGATGTGGTAACATTAAACGAATAAAACGTGTTGAACGGAACCTTGAACAAGTTCAACAGAACTTTGAACGTGTCACTTAATCTAGTCCTACTCTCAGCTGGTGTGGTGGCTTTAGTTTCTTCATTGAGTGGTAGCAGTGGGATCTCACAGAGATCTCATTTGTAGCCCTGTTTTTACCTGATATTTTCATAAAAGTACAAACACATGAAGTGAGAGGTATATACACATGATTCAACTTTATTTAAAGCATGATTAACCCGAAGCAGGACGGAGTCATGACTTAAAACACCAAAGCAAGGCTTCTAGCTCAGGCTAGCTAGTGTTAGCATATTACCTTCAAAGTTGCAAAGAGTTTGCTACGTGGTGTCGTACTGGATGTCCGGACGACCCTCCATATATCATTAACAGATACTTTAGGCAACTCCAGCAAACACCTTGTAAACTTCTTCTCTGCCATCATAACGGTCTACTGTCACTGTCTAATATTTTTTTCCGGTAACCGGAAAACCTCAAACTTCCTTACACCAATGCGGAAGTGATGCGTGCATAGAGCCTATTGAAACATTGTACATGTTTAAATGTTTTTTTATTTTGTAAATTGAACTGAATTGAATATCACAAAAATATACAAATTGACTAGTGTGAGGTGAAAGTATTGACTTTTGTATCTGTGTGAGGGGTGGGATGCCCACCATGCAGCCGCAGTTCCTGCAGTTCTCTGGCTCCACCCACAGCTCCTTGTCTCTGTAGACCACACCGTTGGCACTGCACGTCCTCTCACAGCGGCAGCCCTCCAGCTGGGTCAGCCTGGACTCTGCGTAGTTCAGCTGGACACCACACAAGCACGCACACACACAGACACACACACACACACACAGATAAATACACATCATCATCCATTTAAATATCGCAGCACTATAGTCCAATTCAACCAGTAAGAAGAGCAAGAGGACAAAAAATGCAAAAGCAACCAGCTACACATAGAAATGGACATTGGTGTGTGTTTAGCCCCCAGTGTTTTCTAGTCGTCCTACACTCTAAACAATTCTGGGTTGTTTGGATGACCCAACTGCTCGGTTGCATGCATTGGGTCACTTAGCTGGGATGTTTTCTTAAAAAGAGCAAGATTGGGTTATTGATGCTGGGTTATTGATGCTGGGTTATTGAGATATGACCCAGCGGCTCAGATCAGAAGATTGAAGGCTGGGCTTAGTCGGAGCGTGGCTTTCAGATTGTTATTTTTGGCCACCCGTGAGAGTAAATGTAATTCCGGTTCATCAGTTATGTTGTATAGTTATTACATGCTAAGGTTGAACACTGACACTTTTGTAGCTTTAATGAGGCTTACACATGTGTATGAGTTCTTTAAGAGCTTTTGCATATCTCAATGTTGGGATAGCTACCATTTTGTTACATTATGTAAATAATAATGTTATTAATTTTATATTAAAATATGTAATGTGCATAAATATTGAAGGGAAATATACATTTGTACTGTACAAAGTTAACATAAACATTTCCTCTCACTGGTGGCCAAAAATAACTATCTGAAAGCCACGCCCCTAATAGGTCATGTCTCCTGAAAATAAGCTATGGAATACCTTAAAAAAGACACAGCTGCTGGGTGAATACAAACCCAACTGATGGTTGTCTGGGTAATCCAAACAACCCAACATGTTGGGTTATTCATGCGAACCAACTGGCTTGGTCAAAATAACCCACTGTGGGTTCTGTCCAATATTTACCCAGCGCCAACATTTTTTGGAGTGTACCCTCAGCACATACCACACACACACACACACACACACACACACACACACACACACACACACACACACACACACACACACACACACACACACACACACCCTCAATGCTTAAGAGAGGATGTGCTCCATTGATTTAGGCTGGGTCCCAAAAATGGGCCCTTGTCAAAAGTAGTGCACTAAAAAGGGAATATGGTGCCATTTGGGACACAGACACATCTTTTGCATTTATTTATTAGGGATCCCCATTAGATGCAGCCGAGGCAGCAGCTACTCTTCCTGGGGCCCAAACACATTAAGGCATTTACATCACACATAAAACAAAAGATAAAACAGTACATCATATAACATTGTTACATCATATATCTACTATACAAAATGTACAACAATATTACAATGTACGTGTGTGTAGAGTGTGTGTGCTAGCGTGTGTGTGCGTATGCGTGTCTGTGTGTTCTTCACAGTCCCCGCTGTTCCATAAGATGTATTTTTATCTGTTTTTTAAATCTGATTCTACTGCTTGCATCAGTTACCTGATGTGGAATAGAGTCCCATGTAGTCATGGCTCTATGTAGTACAGTGTGCCTCCCATAGTCTGTTCTGGACTTAGGGATTGTGAAGAGACCTCTGGTGGCAGGTATGTTGGGGTATACAGTACATTACCAAGCATTTCACACATATTATCCAGATACTCTGTAGCTCAGCTGGTAGAGCACGGCGCTTGTAACGCTAAGGTAGTGGGTTCGATCCCCGGGACCACCCATACACAAAAAAATAAATAATAATAATAATAAATAAATGTATGCACGCATGACTGTAAGTCGCTTTGGATAAAAGCGTCTGCTAAATGGCATATTTATTTATTATATTTTACTGACTGTAAGCACTTAGTGGTCTATAGCAGCTTCCTTTCAGAATGGGCTTTAGGTCAGGCAGATGAACCTGTAGTCATATGTGACTAGTTTCAGGAAACTAGGCATATTCGCGTGTCACTACTTCACAGGAAAGGCATTTGAACGTAATTTTAATTTTTTTATCAAAATGCGTTTTTTGGCAGAAATGCCTTCTGGAACTTGTGAACTTTCATGTTCCCTAAAAACATACATGTATGCCATCTGTAAATACGAATACAATAGTTAATTTACGAGACTAGTTTGTTTAGCCATGGAAAAAGACACAAACCTTCCCGCTAGTCATGATTGGCTGAGATAATGGATGGGCTGGACATGCCGAGAGATGAGTTCGGATTTGTCTGCCATGTAGCATGCTTCGGTCTGTAGGTAATCCGTTCTAAAGCGGCTTTTTGGAAAGATATCACAAAGAACAGCACAAGTGTTGCTAAGGCTCTCCACTTTCTGGAGGACCGAGTTTTGAAATCAGTGGAATGCCCAGTGGAAGCAGAGTATGATAGCTAAGGAGATGGAGAAAATTCAGGCGTTTGATTGCAAATGCGCAGGGATTCGATAAGAGAACACAGAAGGCTGTTGTATAAAACACCTGTCTGGATTACAACCATGGCATCCGTGAAAGAGAGGGAGAAGCGTTCATCCATGTATACAGGGAAGAGAGTCTAGCTAGCTACATTTTCAGATAATAATAATAATTTAGTCAGAAAGTCAATTTTATTGCAAGTTACAGCATACTGTTAGCTAGCTGGCTGACTGGCTCACTAGCTATCGTTACATGTATGATCTGTATAGTAATATTATTTTTTTCTTAGAGCCATTTGCATTGCTAGTTATAGCCTATTGATAGCTAGATAGCTAACATTGAACCTAGCTAGTTGTTTAGTTTTAGCTACCTGTTGATTCATGCAGGGTAGTAATGTTATGAGTTGGGATTATGGTTCATTGTTTAGCTAGCTAGCTATCTACACGTCTAAACAAAAGACTCCACTATGCAAGTAACCATTTCCCCGGAGCACGGCGGCAGCGGAATATAAACTAGCCGTAAAATGATAGAGAGCTCTGTGTGTAAAATTTGAAATACCGGGTGTCGTCGAGGCTTTCAATTTCATCTACAGAGTCCAATATTTTGAAAACACAATTTCAAAAGAATATGGTGATGCTTAAAGGCCAATTTCAGTATTTTCAAATCTAATCAAATCAAATGTTATTGGTCACATACAGATATATATCAGATGTTATTGCGGGTGTAGTGAAATGCTTGTGTTCCTAGCTCCAACAGTGCAGTAGCATCAAACAATTCACAACAATACACAAATCTAAAAGTAAAATAATGGAATTAAGAAATATATAAATATTAGGATGAGCAATGTCAGAGTGGCATTGACTAAATACAGTAGAATAGAAAACAGTATATACATATGAGATGAGTAAAGCAGTATGTAAACATTATTAAAGTGACTAGTGTTCCATTATTAAAGTGGCCAGTTATTCCATGTCTATGTATATAGGGCAGCAGCCTCTAAGGTGCAGGGTTGAGTAGCTGGGTGGTACCCTGCTAGTGATGGCTATTTAACAGTCTGATGGCCTTGAGATGGAAGCAGTTTTCAGTCTCTCGGTCCCAGCTTTGATGCATCTGTACTGATCTCGCCTTCTGGATGATAGCAGGGTGAACAGGCTGTGGCTCGGGTGGTTGATGTCCTTGATTATCTTTATACCACCCTCTGGAGAGCCCCGCGGTTGCGGGCAGTGCAGTTGCCGTACCAGTCGGTGATACAGCACGACAGTATGCTCTCAACTGTGCATCTGTAAACATTTCTGAGGGTCTTAGGGGCCAAGCCGAATTTCTTCAGCCTCCTGAGGTTAAAGTGGCGCTGTTGAGCCTTCTTCACCACACTGTCTGTGCGGGTGGACCATTTCAGATTGTCAGTGATGTATACACCGAGGAACTTGAAGCTTTCCACCTTCTCCACTGCGGTCACGTCGATGTGGATAGGAGCGTGCTCCCTCTGCTGTTTCCTGAAGTCCACGATCAGCTCCTTCGTTTTGTTGATGTTGAGAGAGAGGTTATTTTACAACTTGATGTTAGATAGTTCCTCCATAGACTTAGGGTGAGGAACTAGTTTAAGTTAAGTTTTTAAAATACTGATCTTCCTCTTTCACGGGACCACTACAGGCTGGCTTTGCCAGCACCATAGCACCAGCATCATAGCGGCACAATGGGACATACCAATCATCTATGTATTTGTGTGTGTGTCTGTGTCTGTGTGTGTGTGTGTGTGTGTGTGCGTGTGCGTGTGCGTGTGCGTGTGCGTGTGTGTGTACGTGTGCGTGTGTGTGTGTGTGTGTGTGTGCATGCGTGCGTGCGTGCATGCGTTCGTAGCATACGTGCATGCGTTCGTACTCCGGGAAAATATGATGAAGACGTACGAAAATACACTACAGTATACTCAAGGCATGATATGACATGCTACAAGATTGTCGAAAAGTGTGTGTCATCCATTTCATGTCATCAACAGAACAAAACATGCATATAGGCTCTGACTAAGCTCATCTGCAACCTCTTCTATCTCTCTCTCTCACACACAGACACACACACACTGCCACTGCTAATTCATGCATGGAACAGCTAGTCTCAGCGCACACTCCCTGACACTGCATATTATACAGCCAGCCGGGTACAAAGAGGTTAGCAATTATTCATCCACAACCTCCATCACATTCTTCCCTTCCACCCCTCTATCCATCCCTCCCTCCCTCGTTCACAGCCACGCGGGGAGGAAAGTGCCACTTCTACCCGCTGCGTTGCTGTATAAGCAGGGAGGTCAGACAGGCTGTGCCCCAAATGCCCCCCTATTCCCTATACAGTGAGGGAAAAAAGTATTTGATCCCCTGCTGATTTTGTACGTTTGCCCACTGACAAAGACATGATCAGTCTATAATTTTAATGTTAGGTTTCTTTAAACAGTGAGAGACAGAATAACAAAAAAAATCATTTAAAAAATGTTATAAATTGATTTGCATTTTAATGAGGGAAATAAGTATTTGAACCCCTCTTTAAAACATGACTTAGTACTTGGTGGCAAAACCCTTGCTGGCAATCACAGAGGTCAGACGTTTCTTGTAGTTGGCCACCAGGTTTGCACACATCTCAGGAGGGATTTTGTCCCACTCCTCTTTGCAGATCTTCTCCAAGTCATTAAGGTTTCAAGGCTGATGTTTGGCAACTCAAACCTTCAGCTCCCTCCACAGATTTTCTATGGGATTAAGGTCTGGAGACTGGCTAGGCCACTCCAGGACCTTAATGTGCTTCTTCTTGAGCCACTCCTTTGTTACCTTGGCCATGTGTTTTGGGTCATTGTCGTGCTGGAATACCTATCCACAAGCCATTTTCAATGCCCTGGCTGAGGGAAGGAGGTTCTCACCCAAGATTTGACGGTACATGGCCCCGTCCATCGTCTCTTTGTTGCGGTGAAGTTGTCCTGTCCCCTTCGCAGAAAAACACCCCCAAAGCATAATATTTCCACCTCCATGTTTGACGGTGGGGAGGGTGTTCTTGGGGTCATAGGCAGCATTCCTCCTCCTCCAAACACGGCGAGTTGAGTTGATGCCAAAGAGCTCAATTTTGGTCTCATCTGACCACAACACTTCCACTGAGTTCTCCTCTGAATCATTCAGATGTTCATTGGCAAACTTCAGACGGGCCTGTATATGTGCTTTCTTGAGCAGGGGGACCTTGCGGGCGCTGCAGGATTTCAGTCCTTCACGGCGTAGTGTGTTACCAATTGTTTTCTTGGTGACTATGGTCCCAGCTGCCTTGAGATCATTGACAAGATCTTCCCGTGTAGTTCTGGGCTGATTCTTTACCGTTCTCATGATCATTGCAACTCCACAAGGTGAGATCTTGCATGGAGCCCCAGGCCGAGGGAGAATGACAGTTATTTTGTGTTTCTTCCATTTGCGAATAATCGCACCAACTGTTGTCACCTTCTCACCAAGCTGCTTGGCGATGGTCTTGTAGCCCATTCCAGCCTTGTGTAGGTCTACAATCTTGTCCCTGACATCCTTGGAGAGCTCTTTGGTCTTGGCCATTGTGGAGAGTTTGGAATCTGATTGATTGATTGCTTCTGTGGACAGGTGTCTTTTATACAGATAACAAGCTGAGATTAGGAGCACTCCCTTTAAGAGTGTGCTCCTAATCTCAGCTCGTTACCTGTATAAAAGACACCTGGGAGACAGAAATCTTTCTGATTGAGAGGGGGTCAAATACTTATATTCCTCATTAAAATGCAAATCAATTTATAACATTTTTTACATGCGTTTTTCTGGATTTTTTTGTTGTTAATCTGTCTCTCACTGTTCAAATAAACCTACCATTAAAATTATAGACTGATCATTTCTTTGTCAGTGGGCAAACGTACAAAATCAGCAGGGGATCAAATACTTTTTTCCCTCACTGTATAGTGCACTACTTTTGACTAGAACCCTATTGTCCCTAGTCAAAATAGGGAATAGGGTGCCAATTGGGATTTTGGTCTATTAAAATGAAGGAGGAGGCGGTTATTTACAGTGGGATGACTCCAATCCCAGGGCTGGCTGGTGGGTTGTCCTTGCTTCACACACACACACACACACATACAAGGACACATGAGCACACACACACATGTACACGCACACACACACATACACAGACACACATGGTTGGGGGTCGTGCTGAGAGGAACATAATGCTCTGCACCTGTTAGTGTCCCGCAGGGCCAAGATGGCTGCCATTTAATGACACCACTGTGACCTCCAATCATACCTACCCTGTGTGTGTGTGTGTTGTATGACCTCTGACTAAGATCTCTCAGGTACAATGTTGGGACATAAAGCATCACACCACATCACATATAAGGTCATTTGTTTGAGGTTAGAGGTCAAAATGCAATTATTTTAATGGGTGGTCACTCTCACCTTCAGGGTCATCTTGGCCAGCAGCTCCTGAAGGTCCATGATGCCTTGCACCAGGCTCAGGAAATCACTGCATGTCGGACAGGCTCAACAGGAGAAAATGAGGGACAAAGAAAGACAGGAGTGGGAGATGGGATAAAAGAGTAAAGGGCAAGAGAAAAAGGAAGGAGGTAGAGGATGCAATAGAAGAGAAAAAGAGAAGAGAAAAAGAGGAGGTACATTTATACACATTTTACCAAAACATTGTTGCTCAAAATATAAGTATATTTTATAACCAAAGCTAGAGAAAATTGAGTGACTGAACTCATTGGAAGGCTCTGTTTTTAGAGGATTGTGGGTAATTATTAATTTTTTAACTTAATGATTATTTTACACAATGTTGTATGCATGTTTGAAGAAAGAAACGTATACTTCTATATTAATATTAAGCTTCTCGGGTGTGGCGCGAGCGCTGGTTCACACAAGTATCGATGAGTGGAGCGACAGACTATGATTACATGCCTTATTGATCAGCGACAGAGACAGTAGCATCGCCATAAGGGCACAACACAAGCCCTGTATCTTCATTTGTTTGACAATAAACAGGAGGGAGGGAGAGAAAGAGAGAGGGAGGGAGGAAGAAAGAGGGAGGGAGGTTTGAATATTGAATTTAAATGACAGAGATAAGACAAAGGGAAAAAGGTGTATGTGTGCG